ATGTATTTTGAAAGAAAGTAAACGGCTAGTCAGGCAAATATGAACCCTTGGCTCCAATTCCAGCATCCAATCAACTCATTCGAGAAGCATTCCAGAAAGTGAAACCAATTTATTAGCAAAGTAGACCAACACTATAATCACGCGCAAAATATAATTGTTTCAAAGATTAGTTTTTTGAACCTATTAGGTGTTTGAAATTTGTCCAAGGAGAGAAGTTAACAAGTACTGCTAGGAGAGGGAAATATGCAAAAGTCCAAGAAACAATTTGGTGGGCACCTGCTTGTACAAGAAAGGAAAGGGTGCATTTTTAAAATTCGTTTAATTACAGTATAATATATGTGATACTTTAAAAAATAACCGAAATACTTTAAAATTCAAGGATTTCTTCGGAATTTTCCTCATAAGCTGTATAATTATCCCGGGAATGCGCATGAATTTTCATTATTTCCTTGGCACCAGCAAACGCATTGAATAAAAAAATCCTGCCATAATTTGGGAATTTTCTCGTGTTTTAGGGCTAAAATAATTACTGTATTGCATATAGTCCCATCGTTGCTTTGCCAAAAAATTCATGAATTACGTTCATGTATGTAAACAATCAAAATGTTCATCTTATATTCAGGTGTGCAGTTTTCCGAGAATTGACGTGTATTTTTTTGGATTTAAATCCGTGGTGAAATGCGGAAACCCCATCGAGTTGTGCTCAGCATGTGCGCCAATGTCATGCTGCTGAATTTGTTCTCCGCTGACGGCAGGTCTGTGCCTGCTGCCGATTCCTGTGAGTTTAATATTTAATTTATTTTAACCAGGTGTCACTCGAATTGATTCGTTATATACATAAGTCCAACTCTTTTTTTTTAAATTACGCATATAGCAGCGCCGCAGTTAGTCCGAAGAATGTCCAGCAGAAGCGAATTCTTTTCGGTGAAGAATCCTCCTCTCGAACCCGTCATCGATAAGGTCCGAGTGGAAACAGGTGTAGTGAAAATGCTTGAACTCGACGGGCCTTCCCACGGGCCTTGCACTTGCGGAAGTGACCCATCG